ATATAGAGAATTATTTAACAAATCGTTCCTTTTTTCAAGTGTGTTACACCAAAGTATCCTTCGATCGCCAAAACTAACAAAACTTATTGACGTAATTTTCAATTGTGCAACTTAAACGAATTGCGAACTTGAAACTTAAAACGTTTGATGACACTTTCACTCGTTGAATGATTTTCCCTTGTGCAAAATCATGCGCAAAAAGTTTTGCCAAAATCGGCTCGTCCGTGATTGATGATCGAGAACGATGACTGATTGTGACTTCAGAGCAAACTTTTCCCGACGATATGGAGCGGCTTTTCAACGGAGTCATCGCAAACTCATAGCCACCGTGGCGCACTGGATCCCTGTTGCGCGATCGGGAGCAACTTTGCGGACAATATCGGCGAGCTTGCGAATCGTTTCAGAGAATTGGGACTGCTAGATAAGAAACCAGCGAAGAGGCCACCGCCTAGTTACCTCTGTCACCTATGCTTCAAGAAAGGTCACTACATCAAAGATTGTCCACAGGTGTGTGTGTTGTCTGTCATGCAGATATTTCTCGATCGAAGAAATCGTTAGTAACGACCGAGTGTATGTAGCTTCAATTGGCTTTGCACAAAACGCGTGTGTATTATTTTTGGACAGAAGCGAACAACAACAGCGTCGTGAATACTTCACGAGACGTGTCATCCAATATTTCGAGTCTCTCTCTTCTTTGACTACTAGCATTCCGCTGTCAACTAACAGGCATCGTTCGATTCAACTAAATAGTAGAATAAATAAACTTATGAGAAATGAATGTTTGTTCCAGGCACGTCCGAAAGGAGAGGGCTTGACGCCGTATCAAGGGAAGAAACGATGCTTCGGAGAGTACAAGTGTCCCAAATGCAAGCGCAAATGGATGTCGGGCAACAGCTGGGCCAATATGGGTCAAGAATGCATCAAGTGTCACATAAACGTCTATCCTCACAAACAGGTGAGAGTGTAGACATTTACTTAGAGGGAACGCTATTCTATCGAGAGGATCGCGAGAGTCACGATCGCACTGTGAAAGAGTTCGACGCTAAATCTTCGATCGTGGACAATTTTCGTGTTTCATCCGCCAAGGACCAAGTCTATCGTGATGTTACAATATTTTTTTTTTTTTAATTTCATAACGCAACAATCCTTGATAGCTTAGTATTTCAAAGAAGCGTCCCGTAACTTTATATGAACGGGGGGGGGAAGAAATTCTCGAGAAACAAGTTCAAGATTGCAGGTGAATAAAAGTCATCGATATGTCTCACGATTCGTAAACGATCGCCAAGGGAAAACTTGCCTCGAAGCCAACAATATCTCTTCCCGATATAATCCGAACAAGTTAACTCTTAGCAACGCAACAGCACGTCAAAATAAAACGTGCCACGCTTTGGCTGGCGATACGCGCGTTACTAGAAAAAAAAAAAAAGAAAGATGTTCCTTGGCCAGTTCGTTCGAGCGTCGCGTCGTATTTTCATAGTTTTCATTGTGTGCGCATCCACGCAATTATGTTACGTAATTCTCGTTACGTTTCCCATGTTTTCAGAGACCGTTAGAGAAGCCGGACGGATTGGACGTGTCCGACCAGAGTAAGGTTCATCCGCAACATCTTTGCCAGAAATGTAAAACCCTTGGCTACTATTGCCGAAGGGATCAATAGCGAATCGAAAGCACACACGGCGTGTGTTAACGTGTAATGCGAATGATGAAAATTTTTATCTCGACGTCTTGAGCCAAGGGCGTTTCTCCTAAACGTTTTCATGCGATCGAAATCTTCGATCTCTTCGTCGAACATTTTATACAGATCACGCGTGTAGCAAGTGGAAACAATATGAGCTTCCCGCAGGATGTAGGATACAATAAAGCTTGCACTATATAT